TATATATATATATATATATATATATATATATATATATATATATATATATATATATATATATATATATATATATATATATATATATATATATATATATATATATATATATATATATATATAAATATATATCAAACACAATATAATCCTTATTCCAAAACGATACTTAAGTATTTTTTGAGCACAGCATAAGAAATTAAGTTATTAACGTGTACTTCTCGATGTATGGTCACGAGGAATCCTGCTTCAGAAATAACTCATCTCCCTCAGTCATCTGTTCATCAAGCTAGTTTCAGTTGGTGACATCGCCAACCAGAGATGGCGGTAACGCACCAAAAACTTGTTGTCAAACACCGTAAAACAGGAAGAAGAAGAAATCCTCATTGTCACCATCATATGGATTTACTTTCATCGACTAGACACCGGCCTTACAGCTCCGGGAATGTCCTTGCCGTCAATTATTGATCCGAGATAGGTAAGTGTAACTTGTGTGGACACTACTGTGCTACTTGACTAATAAAATAGCATCGCTACAGAAAAGCTATTTGATTCAGAAAGTAGCGAGCGATGCTACCGCCACGCAACTGAGAAATTTAGTTAAGCTAGTAGCGTCACTACTTGTAGCGACGCTACTGCCCAACACTGCTCATTTCCATAAAGCATGTTTTCTTGTCAGCAAAAAAGGTAGTGCGGTGTGCCTCGTGTTTTTGGAACAGAACTGTGTGTTTGGTGTGATCAGCCCCTAAGGTAGCATTCAGAAAAAACTAAACACCAGCGAAAAAACTCAACACAGAGAAACATAAAAGCCTACTGCCAGCTAGCGTTTCAGAAGTGTTATTGCAGAGCAACAAAAACAGCATGCAGATGTATAGATGCACAACTACATGCAAGGCAGGCGCCATGGGTCATGCTGATCACTCGATGCAGTATAAACCAGCCTTTAGCTACTAGTTAATTAGTTAAAGTTAGTAACTAATACAGTCATGGTACTTAATAACCTTAGGCTGCGTCCGAAACCGCACACTTCCATACTATATAGTACGCTAAAATCAGTATGCGAGCCGAGTAGTATGTCCGAATTCATAGAATTCTAAAATCAGTATGCGAGAAGTACCCGGATGACTTACTACTTCGGCAAGATTCTGCAGTGCGAATTCCATGCACGCTGCGCTATCCCATAATGCCCCATGAGAGAATTCATGAAAGGAAGTGAAACAACTGACTCAGGTAGGTCACGTGACCATGACAAAATGGCGGAAGTAGTACGTCCGAATTCCGTAGTAGTAGGCGGTTTCGGACGCAGCCTTAGCTTCTCCGAATTTGATTGTAATGCAATAACGTGCACCTTTTGTAAGGCTGCTTTGAAACAATAACTATAGTGAAAAGCTCTATGCAAACAAATAAACTTGAATTTAATAAATGTGATCATGCAAAACTCACAAAGAATCAGTTCTAGCAAAGTTCCTATAAGGTAAGTCATTTCATTCGGCGGCCATCTTTGAAACACCTCTCGGGCAGTATGTTCAAGCACTCTGTCTGAATGGGGAAACATCAAATTCTCCAAAACTGCTTAGCAAGCTTATGATTACATTTCATATTACGAATAACCAATAAAATTAAATAACAACTGTCCCTTTAGTTTAATTTCTAATTGTCCAAAATCTGAAGAAACTCACGTCTGGTCCGAGCCCCTCTATTGGAGTATTGTCAGTCTATAGCGATTGATGATTGGCTCCTGTACTAGAAGGCGGGCTTTATTCATCATATAACGATCAATGATTGGCTCCTGTACTAGTAGGCGGGTTTTATTCAACATACTGACAGTTACATTTTTCTTATTCAAAAATAGAGTGACATGTCTTGTGTATTCTATCATCTTTGGTTCTAGCAATATAGTGATATAAAAATAAATATTAGAGTTTGTTTTCATTCCAACAGAAAGGCCATGCAGTCCTTGAGGAAAAGAAAAGAAATTCAGAAAATTCAAAAGGTCAGATTTTAGGCATTAGGGTCAAAGTGTCATGGACACACAGGCGTTTAATGATAACCCTATGCTGACAGCCAACAATTCACGTCAGGCTATATTCCTCCACTTAGGAGCCACTTTTACCTGCTGCTATTTTAGACGGGCTTCAGACACCTGCTCTGAGAGATAGGACTGGGTTGGGCTTCATCCAACATGTTTGAAATATTAAATGAATAATAATGATAACAAGCACCCGAAACAACGAATGACTGTGTAGAGGAACGCTACAAGCTTACATTGAGGTAAATTGTGTTTTATATCAACACATTCTGACTTTCTCCTTAATATAATTGTAGAAAATAATGATTTGTCAATTTTAAATAGTGAAACAATTTTAAATTATTTTAAATTTAAATAATTTTTAGCCAATGACTATTAAAGTAAAACATTGCTCACAGTCAAATTAACAGTGCTGATGTGATTTTTAAGTTAGTAAATGTACTTGCATGCGATTTCAGATCGAATATTCAAAGTACCATGGTAAACAATATTGGGAGCATGTCATATCAACAATATTATTTGCAGGCAGTTGACATTTCAAGCATTGACTTCTGATTTAATTAAATTGCATGGAGTTATAAACTCATATTAGTATCTGAAAGGCTGCTTGATGTGTTTTATTACTTGTTTTACTTCTACCTCACCTATTTGTATACATTTTAAGCTAAATTTTGATGTTCAGAAATATCAAATACAACTTGTATAGCTTTTATTTCTCTAATAATGGTGGCAGAAAATGCACAAAGACACTGAAATAATTTATAACGAGGTCTCATTTTGAGCTAGAAGTCTCTTTTGTTGCTCAGATGAAAAGTCTGGGATAATTTATGCGAGTTTGACTGCAGACCTCAACATGACCCTAAAATGCCAGACTAACACACGCAACACAACTAACTAGTCAAACGTGTACTTAGTGCAAAGTAACCGTATTTGAATAAACGTTAGCAAACAGTTAACGTTGAGGCAGTCGCTGTCGGCAAATGAGCGTTCTATCATTTAAAACGACCAACATTTAATATGTATGTCTATGTTCGGTCGTTTCCAAAGTAAAAACACAACAAGACTAAAATAAACCTGCTAGCAAACAGCCGCGGATGGTAAAACTGACGAGTATTGTCGTATGAAGGAGAAACAAGAACCTGCTGTAAACGATCCAACACGCAGGAACAAGTGCAGCTCAAAGTCCTCAAACCTCCCGAGATCAGAGTCCATAGAAACCGGAGAAAAACAATCCTCAAGACCCGAGAACACACCGCGAATGAATCCCGAACAGACACTCACCCGTGCGGCGACCGGTGCAGCTCCGCGCGACGGTTAAACGGTTAAAGTTTAAAGAGTTTGTGAGAGCTGAATCTGATGCCGTGCAGTTTTCTCTCGCTCGGCTATGTGTGTGTGTGTGTGTGTGAGAGAGAGAGAGAGAGAGAGAGAGAGAGAGAGAGAGAGAGAGAGAGAGAGAGAGAGAGAGAGAGAGGGGTGCACTAAGGTAAAGTTGGTTTTATATTCACATATTCAGTTTCTCCTTAATAATATGAATTCAGAATAGTAAATTGTAAACAGTGAACTCATATTTGCAGCCAATGACTATCAATGTAGGCTACAACATGTTTACAGTCTGTTAAATAGCGCCAATGTTGTTTTAACCCTTTAACTGCCTGCTCTAACAAATAGTTGCCCATATTTTGACTTATTTTAAACAATGGTTTACACCACAAAGCATTGTTGGTTTACAAAAAAAAAAAAATCGAACATAATCTTGTTGCACTACTACACTTTATTTTGGTTTTACTGTTTTAAAAAAAAAAGAAATCATGTTAAATTACAATCTGAAATATTTTATAGCTTACTTCAAAAGATAAAGATGACTTAGTATTAAAAATGTTTTATTTTGAATATATATATATTTTTTAAATAAATTGGTCTTACAGTTCATATTTTCAGATTTTTTTATAGTATCTTCTGGTACTTTTACCCAGAGATGCATAGTAACGAACTACTTCACTACTGTACTTAAGTACTAAAAGGCTGTATCTGTACTCTACTGGAGAATTGTTTGTTTCTCCTACTTACATTTACATTACATTAACATTTAGTCATTTAGCAGACGCATTTATCCAAAGCGACTTACAAATGAGGACAAGGAAACAATTTACACAACAATAAGAGCAACAATCAATAAGTGCTGTAGGCAAAGTTTCAGGTATGTAAAGTGTAGGAAGCAAAACATTAGTAATTTTTTACAAAGCCAGAAGTCACTTTGTAAGCAAACATCAGAGCTTTGAATTTGATGCGAGCAGCAACTGGCAGCCAGTGCAAACGGATGAGTAGCGGACCTCTCTTACTTTTTTTCCCCACTTTTACTTCAGTCCATATTTTCGATGAGTTGAATACTTTTACTCTGATAGATTTTTTATGTACTGCATCGTTACTCGTAACAATTATTAAAAATGTGATGAATCATTCCAAACCCACATTATCACTGCCGGAGCAGCAGATGGCTCTGTCACAGGTTTGAATATGCTGGCTCGTCATCATCATGGTCATCTCGCCTGCATTGAGAGCACTTTAGTTTGTTTTTGACATGGAAAACCCAGAAATTCAACCTTCAACTGCTTCACTTTCAACTGTTGGTGGTGATGAGGAAGAAGACCACCCGTGGTCCTGTTTAGAGTCCATGTTTATCAGAGTGAAAGACAATTCATTTAGAATTAAGTGCATACTCTGCCTCCCGAAATAAATATATACAGTTGAAGTCAGAATTATTAGCCCCCTGTTTATTTTTTCCCCCAATTTCTGTTTAGGAGAGCAGATTTTTTCAAAACATTTCCAAACATATAAGTTTTAATAATTCATTTCTAATAACTGATTCATTTTATATTTTTCATGATGACAGTAAATAATATTTGACTAGATCTTTTTCAAGACACTTCTATACAGCTTAAAGAGACATTTAAAGGCTTAACTAGGTTAATTAGGTAAACTAGGCAGGTTAGGGTAATTAGGCAAGTTATTTTATAAGGATGGTTTGTTCTGTAGACTATCAAAAATATATAGCTTAAAGGGGCTAATAATTTTGACCTTAAAATGGTGTTTAAAAAATTTTAAACTGATTTTATTCTAGCTGAAATTAAACAAATCAGACTTTCTCCAGAAGAAAAAAAATTATCAGACATACTGTGAAAATTTGTTAAACATAATTTGGGAAATAATTAAAAAAGAAAAAAAAATCAACTTCAATTGTGTGTGTGTGTGTGTGTGTGTGTGAGTGTGTGTGTGTGTGTGTGTGTGTGTGTATATATATATATATATATATATATATATATATATATATATATATATATGTGTGTGTGTGTGTGTGTGTGTGTGTGTGCATATATATATATATATATATA